GGAAGGAAGGAAGGAAGGAAGGAAGGAAGGAAGGATGGATGGATCCAGGCCAGGAGGTATTCAGGGGATACAACAGCAATAGCACTGAGACTTATATACCGCTTATATTATACAGCACTCTCTGAGCAATTTGCAATGCCAGCATTACTTGCATTACTTTGCATATTGCCCCCAACAATCTGAATCCTCATTTTACCAACCTCGGACGGGTGAAAGTCTGAGTCGACCTTGAACTGCCGGTCAGGATCGAACTCCTGGCAGTGGGCAGTTTGCCTGCAATACTGCATTTTAACCACTGTGCCATCAGGGCTCCAACCAAGTAGCCCTCTCTCCCATCCGGTTTCCCAGCTCCTCTTCTCAACAAAGAATGGAGCGAAGAGATTACGACATCACCACTTCCCTGGGACAACCCAAGAGTGAAATCCTCTTATGACCTCAGGATCTTCTAATTCACCTTTTCTATTCATCTCCCATCCTGAGATCTATTAACTGAGACTATCAACTCAGCCTGATTCCTTGCAAGATCTCTGGATGAAAAGCACAGAGCACAGAGCTCCTTGCTCTTTTTCATCACAAGCCGAAGTACCTTAAATTAAAAATAAAAATCTAAGCTTCACCAGCTGGAGAAGAAGATTTACAAAACCCTGCTAGCGGTAGTCTGCTGCGCGGTCTCCGGCGTGAGCCAAGGGTAAGTCTCTCAGGTATGGCTAGTGGTTAAGCTATGCTGTGCTTAGCGCTACCGATGAATGCTGAATATTCAGCATAGCCAAATAGTAAATATACTCGTTTCTTCTGGGTATTTCATCGAAGCTTAATGATGCCCCCGAGCTGTTTATTGGGGCAGAGGTTAGGCTGCTCCATTACCTGAGCTAATCGCACCATGAAAAGGTTATTGGGATCCTTAGCGTGATATTGTGCCAGCTGTCTCAGCATCGCAGCCAGGCGAGCGTTGTTGGTACCTATGGGTACAGACAGATAGGGTCAGGCAAACAAAACAAAACAAAAGGGGGGGGGAACAAGGTTCTGGGAGGCCGGCCTCATCCACGAAACGTGTGCAAATAAACCTGCTGAGCGTATAATCAAACAGAAAATATCCAGAAACTTACTTGGTTTTAAATCACACTAAATGGAGAATAATCACTGAAGTAAATGCACCGATCAGGTGCTTAAGGTACTTTTTACTGCACGTGATCCCCACAAGAAAAGATTCCAGGTTCGATCTCCAGCAATAACTGCTAGGAAAAGCTTTATAACATCTGGAAAGATGCCACTGTGAGTGCTGTGTAGAGCAGAGATCCTCAACCTTGGCCACTTTAAGACTTGTGGACTTCCACAAGTCTTTAAAGTGGCCAAGGTTGGAGACCCGTGGTGTAGTAGAAAATAACAACTGGACAATTTGAAACGGCATGGGTGGCTTTCTACACCGCAAATCCCTAAGTCTCCAAACGCCCCAAAACTCTGTTTTTGCTACAATAGACTTAACTTTACCACCACCATTGTAGAAGAGCCCCAAAAGGAAATGAGCTAGAAACCAACCCAAGTTAGATTCCTATCTCAAAGCTATTCTCAAGTACTGTTTTGCATTATCCAGCTGAGCTTCACACGGCACTGTCTGGGTCTCCACTCCCATGTGTAGTTCAGTAGTTCCTTGTTGTACGGCCGTCCCTCTTCCCTTCTCACTGCCTTTTCCTGAAAATGACCCACTCTGAATACATTAATTTTATGTCAGCTGGCTCTTTCGAGTCTATTTTAGACAGGTAGTCCTCCGGTTACGACTGTCATTGAGCCCACAATTTCGGTTGCAGTTGTGACGGTCATAAAGCAAGTCACTGATACCATTTTGGTGGCAGTTGTTAAGCAAAATACAGCACTGTTAGCTATGGAGTGTTGTTGTTGTTGTTTGCCAGAAACTGGAAGTACATGACCGTTTCCGGCAAAAAGTTCATAAACTGTGGTCAACTGACTGCAGGATGCTGCAAACAGCTATAAATGCAGGCCAGATGGCCCCAAATATGGATATATGACTGGAAGGAAGCAGATGTTGCTTCAAATCTGGATTGCAAGTAGCTTTTTCAGGGTCCCTCGTAAGTTCGAACGTTCACTAAGCTAGGGCTTTTCAACCAGTGGTACGGGTACCACCTGTGGTACATTGGCACCTGGCAGGTGGTAGGTGACCATCCTAGAAAAGTGGT